TTCCTAAATTGTAAATCTTCAGATTCCTTGGTACTGACAGTGTACTTGGCCGGTGAGCTTGGCTGGACCCACTAGATCCACCAAAAACTTAAATTACCAAAACAAGAACTCTCAATAAAGAGATATTGATATATCCAATTAAGAGCTGAATTGCTTCTCCAGCTGCCTACCTCCTTTCAGAAGCCCAGATGAAGCCCAGGATCTCAACACCTCAGATGCAGTTTTCTGGATGAATGTAGTTTTAGGTACAGTCCCATTACAAGGAAAAAAATAATTAAGTTAAACACAAAAGGTTACAGCATCACAGCTCATCAGCTTCTCTCCAACTCAAGTGCTTTCATTTCCAAGAGGTTATGTAGGCATCATTTTGGTGAAAGACAAAGACAGATGCATGATTTTTCATTTACATTTTTAGGAGTCAGTGTCTGTTTTCTCTGAATTGTTCATAATCAATCATGAAGCTTGGTGCAGCTTTTCTCTATCAAACTTCCTTAAGCATTTACATTTTCAACTCCATGAAACATCCAACAATACATAATGTGTGAATGAATGGTGCTGACATGAACTGATATGCTTGTCCAAGACATCACATCATATAGAACTGATGGGACTTATGAATAAAGGTCAAAAATCTCAAAATAGCTAATGTCCAATAGCGTAGCTTCTCGGTCAAACTCTAATAATGTCATCATTCAATTACTGCTTCACTGTTTGTTTTCAAACACATCATGACATTCTGATGACAGATAATTTTCTGATGTCCTTCTAAGTAAACCTTGGAGGAAGGCAGCATGTCATACGTTTTTATTTGGATACTTGGGCCTAATGCATGTGACAGCTGGATTATTTTTTGAGTTAACTCCAATATTAAAAGGAAACTTGTTAAAGAATCTTCCCTGCACTTTCTCTCAGAGGTGCCAGATGATCTGGCATATGTGATTCTTTAACTGAACATTTGTTTCCCCAGGAGCAGTAAATGTGTGTTATGCTCTGAAGGGATGTGTGTTTCTTAAAGAATCTCTACCTTTGACCTGTGGGCAGGCAATGTATGTGCATGGTACATTTATCCCCTAACTGGGAGCAGGCTAAGAGGGAACAGCAGCCAGTGCTTCAGGCATTACAGGGTAGGTTCAAGCAGCTGCTTTGTCATGGAGTTCCCATGGGCAATGGAGCAAGTTCAATCATTTTATTTTTCCTGTGAAATCTTAATTTCCCCACTGGGCACAAGGCTAGCCTTGAGGGACAGGGTTACACGCACTACAGTATGGGATCCACCTTCCCCATGTGCAGCACGCTTTCCTGCCCTGGTCAAGTCAAACTACGCTGTGGTGCCTTTTTGTGAAGCAAAGCACCTCTGTCTTGGCCCTTTTTCACCCAGGCAACTCCTACTGTGGGAAAGAGAAAGAAGGGTGAAGAAGAGAGGAAATCAGGAGGGGAGAAGTGTGGGGTTGGAGACAACCACCCTCCTGCATGAAGGTCTTGGTCTCCCAGGGAGTCCCCAAAACCTAGCAAGCTTGCAAGGACTGAGAGCAGAGCCTTGCAGGAAGGGGACATCGGTGACCTGGAACCATTGGCAAAAGCGGAAGTAATCAATCTTATCCTTGCTGAAAGTTTAAAAGACTTCTCAGACATTCTTCATGGCACTAACACATATCACAGAGTCAGCTGCTACCAGCATTGCAAGAAAATTGCTTAGCCATGAGCTGTATGTAATCAACTCCCAGCCCATATCTATAAAACACCTGGATAGTGAACCCAGGCTGAAGAGTTACCTGAAGGTTAACCCTATTTACTAAGGGGAACAAGGTCTTTGTCTCACATTTTGTCAAGGAAGTTCATTTTAATATGTCCCAGGAGAAAGCAGGAACGAGTACATGAAAGATTAGGTAGCACTCCCATCCCACCACAGGGGAAATCTTCCAGCACACCTCAAACAAATGCAGGAAAAAGAGGACAAAAAGATAGGAAGATGCTACTTAATCACTTGTAAGTGATCAGTGTGATTGGCAAATGCTTTTGATTTTTCTGTGGCCTGCAAACAAGGCAGCAGTCCAAAAAGACAGAAGAAATGATTAACAGAGCTTGGAAGATTTCAGCTCAGAATATAAACTCAGCTAAGGAGCTAAGCAGTCCCCGGAGAAGCGATGGGGAACACTCATAACCGCACACCTCCTGCAGCTTCGTGGGCCTGCACTGTCGACATCGCTCTCCTCTCACCACGGCTCAGTGGAAGTCCTGCCTGGCCCCAACTCGTCTGAATCAGATTACGACCTGCTAATGTATTCATACCTTGAAATCCTTCAAACAAGAAATCCATAGTTGATGAGCTGTGCTGGCAATCTCATGTGTTTTACACAAATTTAATTTCTGTGGTCTCTGTATAGCATAAGGTTAGTTATTGCTTACACCTTCAAACCACTCCGTAAGCTGGTACTACATTTTGAAGATCAGCCAAAACCTGAATCAATACATGTTTCTATGTACTTTCAGATAAGAACTACAACATGTTACCACTGATTATATTAGTATTTTAGATAAAATATAATACTATCTCCCTAATGGAGCACTATACATGAGAGAGGACAGAATATCAAATATAAAATTAGGATGAATATGAATGTGGAAATACTAAGTTTAAAAATCCCACACACATTAAATTCATGCTGCAAACACAAAAATGTTTCAACTAGGTTGTTATCCCTTATTGTCACTACTATAGGCCAGGGATAAAGTAATCCAAATTCAAATAATCAAATATGTGTGTACTTCCCCCTTGCTTCTGCTGTGACAGAGTTACTGCTCTTCAAATGTAGCCTGAGCAAAAGGTGTTGATGGCTTTAAATAACACAAGAGCTTTGGTGAACCATTTGTGCAATAATCCCCCACAACAAAGAGTTATGAGTTGAAATACTCCACTTTATTTAATGATCTCTTAAAAAAATAACCCCTAACTCAGTTGACATTTTTGTCAGGAACACGCATTTTTTTTTATAATTAAGATTTAATCCTTACTTTAACTCAGCCGCATGAGGGGGAACACCTGCCATTCCACAAGCATGGATAGCTGTAGCATTCTCTGCCACAAACAGATATGCAACAGCCAGTGGTCATCTAATTTAACAAAATCATTGTCCAATAAAAGTAATAGAGCAGGTTAACATTTCAACAAGGTATACTTTTACTTTTTGGAGCAATAAACCTCATAAATTCTCCTCATGTTTTCCAATATGCACTCTGCCATTTTAATAGATTAATTAGCAAGAGTAACCCTATCCACAATTTAGTGAGCAATGCAAGGAAGACTGGCAAGTTGGGCCAAAAACATCCCAACTAGTGGAATGTGATTTCTGCCTCTCACACAGAAGTCTCACTAAAAAAAGAAATGCTTTGGGGTTAGTTAGGAGCTTTCTGAAAATACCTGCCAAACCCTCCCTAACCCACGGGCCCATCCTCAGTCGCAGCCCCGCGCTGGTCAAAGGCTCCGGTCGCCGGAGCGGGGCTGGTTCCCTGGCTGTTGCCGCCCCAGGTTTGTGCATTGGGCAGAGGGAATGGTGCAGGGGGAAGGGACTGACCACAGGCAGGGGCCAACTGATGGACCTGGCCACGGTCTCCTTTTGGTCCTTTTTTTGGTACACAGGAAAACATACCCCGCTACTTTTCTTTTGATGGGACGCATCTGAAAGGATGTTCATCTGAAGGCAGCTTATCTTTTTTATGCTTACCAAGTGAACGCTTTCGCCTCCTTTGAACACAGCGAGAAAGTCTTGAGCGGCCCTTTCGGCAGCAGTTCTGATGCAGCCTTGTACCTTTTCTTCAGATGACGATTGGTGGAGTTGCTGTCCATGCACCGGGCCCTGTTACTGACATGTTCTTGCTGTCCAAGCATGCCTTCGTGCTGCTCTGCACCCACACCTGCGGGCACTGAAACACGGCCCTCCGCATCGCAAATACACAGCGGCTTTGGCAAACACCAGGGAGATACTGAAATGCCACCCAGCGACCACACAGAGGAAATGCTTCAGACTGGGCAACAAGTTTCACATGGGATTCACTTCACCCTGTACCTGCTGAATATTTATTTTGCTCTCTCTAATTAAAATCAGGTAAGATTTTTCCCTAATCATTTTGGTTCTATAACTTATAACAGAAGTGCACAAAAACAGTCTTTGTCACATGATCACCAGTATCTTCTGAAAAGATCAGTTTTACTCTGTATGGTAAGAAAATTTAATGATTAAAGGATTATTTGCTCAGTAAAATTCGTAAACATAACTTCGAATAATAAAAGAAATTCTAGCTTAAAAAAAAACAAACAAAGGATCAACTCCTCATCTACTGAAGGCTTTATTCAGTGTCACTTAATAAAACTGAAATATGACGGCTTACACAAAAAAAAATTCAAGAATGGTTTTACTGATGTCAAAACTGCAGCCATGTCAATTTTAATCATTTAGTATAACTATGAAAAAGAGAGGGAGGAAAACTGCCAATTAATCTAGTGAAAACACTTAGTATTTTGGAAAATATCATTATTGTTGCAATGAAGATCAGCTAAGACTTTTTTTTTTAAATAAATGCCAATTTAATTAGAATCTTTGCGCAGAAATGTCTCCCACTTGAAGACAATTTCACTGAGAAGTGAATACCAGTTCAATCCCTTTTGCCATCTCACCCAGAAGAAAAATATATTCAGCTCTTACTGGACGGCGTGGGGCTTGACTCTGTCTCCTCCACCTAGTAGGAATGCACCAAACAACAGGCTACTGAAATAAAAAGTAGAGGTTATGGAAATACATATTCAAACTTCCATTATTATCAAAACTGGAAATAAAACACTTGTTCTCTGTAGCAGCTCCCACTGCAACAACGACAGCAGCAATGGAAACAGACGGCCGCTGGGCTGGAATGTAAGAAGCAAATGCCTCCCATGGAGGAATAAAGTCCACCAGCAATTGAAAGGTACATGTGTGAGACGTGGCCCACAGACCACAGCAAGAAGCTGAGTGGTTTCCCAGCACTGACGTGTGGCAGCCACGGAGCACTCAAACAGCACTTTGTAGATTTAGGTCCCTAATGTAATATAAAAGGTATTTGCTCCAGCTAGTGACCTGAGAGCTTGCTTTGGCTTAGTTTTCCCTGAAGCATTTGCCATGAAGTTAATCAAACCTTAAAAAATAACAGTCTCTCGCTTCTCAAAGACTCAACATAAATACGATTCTGTCTTCTTCTAAGGGCCAGATTTTCTGCAAGGGTAAATCAATAGCTTCACTGACGGAGGATCTGGCCTTAAAAGTCTATCCAGTGCATTAAAATCAAGGCAGCACCCTGGCAACAGAACAATTCTCCAGATTAATATTTGAGGGAAATTTTGGCAGTAAAGAAGCTCTATTTTGAAACGCTGCCATCTTTTTTAGTTGGTGCTGACCACCACCGTTTCTCCTCCCGTGAACTGCACCGTTGCAGCAGGAGCCTCGCGGTCGGTCTCCTCGATCTTCAGCGCAGCGTTGTCCACGCCAGCGCTGACGGGCTGCGGCACAGCCGTGGGTTCTGCAGTGCGAGTTGGAGTGGAGCAGTACAAGATGAAGCCCACCATGATGACAACGAAGGACAGGATGTAAAGGCCAGAAAACTGCCAGAAGGAAGAATAAAATGCATTAGGTCTTGTCTGATGTAAAAACATACAAACGCTGCCTTGTTTAAGAATCTGAAAGCTACACTTCCCTTTAAAAAAAAAAATTCATACAAATTATCATCATGATCTATATCCTGAAAATCAAAATCCAACAGCTCCAATAAAGCTGCTTACTCTTTTACCCTATCTCATCCTCAGTACTCTCGTACCAGGTGTTTTTTTAGGTCTACCTACAATAACTTTAATAAATGGCTAGAAGTGTGGTAATAGGAAAGGACAGCTGTTTATACAACTGAAATCTCTACTGAAAACCTGTATCCCTGAGAGAAATTTGTTTTAGCATTACAAGTATTTCAGGTAGTGGCAAGAGAAGAATATTTCCTTCCAGCTACCAGAGCTGCTGGTTCTCCACACAACTCCTAACTCCCCCCAGGACTGGATAGATGTTGTGACTGGGCAAAAAACCTGTTTGCTCTCTACACACAGAAAGATCCTGAAGAGAGGGAGACCAAGGCTCCTGGTACGAGACATGCATTTGTGCTACTTACTGAACAGTTAGAGCCGTATGAGGCAAGAGTATGAACTGCTGCGGTACATCAGGCATTTGATTCGCTATCACTCCCTTAGGTGTTGAAACTTGGCAATTTTTAGCCATCCTACTAGAAAAATAAATGCTTATTTCATAACACTGGGTTTAATAATACAAAGTGCTTGAGTCATACACAGTCAGGACCACTTTTTCAGGAGGTTTGCTAAAATTCACCCTATTGTCTTTGTCAAACCACTCTGACTTAAACAGCAGCATGATGCACACAGCATATCTTACACCCCACTGTCAAGACATTAAAAAGTTCTGGATCTCAATGGAAGCAGTAGTTCATGGTCATAGTGGGTCATTGTCAAGATTTTCAACACAGCCAGAGAAATTCCAAAATATACCAAACCCACCCTGAGCTTTCTTAGACTTGCTGAAGTCACTTGGCTTGGAAAGTGCGCTGCACCCTTCTAAGGCAGCACACAAGTGAAGGGGAGGCTGAAGCACCTCGGCCCTCTCTCCTCTCCTTGCCAGAATCCCTGTTTTCTTTTAAAAATTAGAAGCTGGGAAAAGAGCAATTTATCATGGCCATCTTTTACACAGTACCAGAGTAGTTAGGTCATCACGGCAGGAAACGGGAGGTGCTGGCAGTGTCCCTAGCATTTCCCTACGCAGTGCCAGGTCATGGGCGCTGTGCCACGACGGCTCCTCCTGTGGCCTTCTCCTCCTTAAGTTTTACTTAATTTCAAATATTGCAGTAACTTCACCGCTTCAGACACTGGTTTCAGTCATACCTGCACAGCTTACCTTGCTCTATTCAATAACAAGTCTAAAGACTACTTTAAATGTGATGAGCTGACTGTACCTCCACCTAGTGTCTGTATTTGAAATAAACTCTGTTTACACAACAGAAACACTTGAGGGCCCTATTTTGAAGTGTTGTGGGGGATTCTTCCTCCTAGACTTTCTTGCATATTTGCCATCACATCTCACAACTTTTGTGTAGCTGCACAAGCACATGATGACAGATGAAGCAATGAGCTGCAGATTTTGAAACATCCTCGATGGCAAGGAATCCAAGGTTTTACTGACTCAAGATTATACTGACTCCAGGACTCACTGCAGGACCAGATGAGGACCTGCATCACCTTGTAAAATCAGGAATGTAATATTTCTTCACAGCAGCTGTCTGTGTAAAATGAGCTCATTAGGAGCACACACAGCAAAGATTAGCTATGGAGCAGAAAAAGAAAATAAGTTCATTAAAGCAGTTATGCCAAATTCACATGTTGTGATAAGCAGAGTCACTTGGTGCATGAGCAAGACGCAGCACTCCAGCTAAGAAGTCCTGCATGGGCTCAGCCGTGTTTGCGCTGCTTCCGTCTCCGAGCAGGCTCGGACAAGAGCAACGCAGAGCTCTGCACGACCCAGCTCCTTCTGCGCCGCAGCCCAGCCAAGCCTTGGCTGGCTTACTGTGACATACGGCTTGCTAAGAGGTAAATCTTTCCTCACAGGAGGAGAGTAGAGAGTGCGTTCTCACATTTTGGTTTGTGGATTCCTGTCTCCAGCATGTTTTCTAATCCAGGAAATGTCCTGCCTGGTGTTTTTGTCTGAGGGAAAGAAACTACAAGGTAACTCGGCAAGATTTTCTACTGCTACATGTATTCTTAAAAGCCCTGCAAAAATCAGGCTTCCCACGTTCTCAATTTCTAAGTTACTTCAGATCCTGATTACTGAAGATGTTGCATTATAATTGCTCCCTTTTTGTTACTTGATTGTTTCTAAACACAGACACAAGGTCATGCTAGAGCTGCCCCTTCAGAGAGTCTTCTCTTCAATGTGTAGAGTGGTAGTTCATTACCCCCTCCCTGCCCCGTGACAAATGTAAAGGACTTTCAAACACTCCTCCTTCCATCTTGCCATGGGAAGATTCAAACAAAAAAAAAATAAATCAACTTGCATGAAAGTAATTTTGCCATTTCTCCAACTTCTCAATGGGTCTTTTTAGTCACTTATATTTTAACATACACCTGAAATTCTCTCATAATGCAGACCTCAAATCTTCCCTAAATCATTTTTTAATTTCTGCTACCAAAATACACTGTAGATAGTAATTATGGAATAATCTCTTCCCAGAAGAATCTCTCCCCAAAATAAGTCAATACTGAAGTTTAAAAGTTTATCTATGTCCCTCTCAAAGATTTTGGCTATCTCTTCACATTAACTATTATGGATACAGTTCTCTAATTACTTCTTCTGTTAAAATCTGAGCTATCTGGTACTAAAATGTGTTACTGGAACTAACAGAAAACATTTTTTTTTAAAAAAAAGAATATAGTTTCCTACATTCATTTGTAATGGATGCTTTGTAGTTTAGAGCATTAGCTTGGTGCAAATTTTCAAATCGAAAATGGTAAGGTAAGTCAATAGCTAGGAATGTCCTGGGAAAAAAAAATCTAGCCCAAAATTGGATCCTAATTGGGTTGAAAAATGAATCCTGTTGAATACTACAATAAATTGGCCTTCCCTTTCAGAAACAAATCTGACATAAAAGTTTCTGGCTCTCCATAATGCTGAAGAGAAAGCAATCACATGGAATAACACAAATTAAGCGTCTTAAGCAAATTTCACAAGCATCTCACTAAGCCCTTCCAGTCGCTGCATGACACTACCCCAGCTGCTCCTGTGAGCTGGGTTCCCATAAATGAGCCTCAATGAAGAGGAGAAGTCAGAGTTAAAACTTTTTAGCACTGCCACTTAGCTTCAATAGATAGTTCAGAAAAGATTAATAACCACCTCTTGCAGAACAATAAAAATAACCACCTCTTGCAGACCACATAGAACTATATATTTATGTGCAATTTTTCAGTTACTGAAGTTTCTCCTCAGAAGCAGTACTTGAGCCTGATTCTTCTGTGAGACATTTATAAAAATAAATAAATAAACTTTTAAAAGGAAATATTATTTTCTAAAAATCAAATCCAACCACTACTCCTGCAGAAATAAATATCCTCTCAGGACACTTGGATTCAAACCCCCACTTTGTGAGAGGGATGAACCAAATCTAGCACACAAACTCTATGGAGTTCCAAATAGGGATTAAAATAAGAATCTATCATTTGAATCTCCTGTAAATTATTTACTATCTTTATTGTTAACTCCAAGTTATTCTATGAAGTATGATATTGCTTTTAATCATTAACTACCTAATGGTGCAAAGCTATGTAATTAAGTATATCTTTCTGGTTGATGTCTAACAGTGATGAATGATACAATCTGTACAAACGTAAGTCTGAAAACAGTTTTGAGGGGCTAAAAAGAACATTATGATTTAATTGCAGTGTTGGAGTAAAAATTTAGCGGAAACTATAATGAATGAATGAAGTTACCTACCTTATAGTAAAACAGGAAAAGTCCAAAAAAAAGGCTGTAGAGATCTGCAGTCAAAATGCCCAAGTTGACTGAGGTTGCACTGGTGACTTTAATCACTACTGGCATGAAGCTATACAGCCCAAACATACACAGGGCAAATGCTGCAAACAGCAGTGCTGTAAGAAAAATGATGGAAACTTAGCATAAAGGCACTAAACTATGACTTTAAAGAAGACTGGTATTATTCAGATGTTTTAAATCATGCATCCTGTAATCTTATCTCTTTACTAAGTTGCAGAGTTTGCAGGAAATCTGTTTATTTGTGGCAACATAACATGAAGGCTGTCATTTACTTTACAGAAAAAGAAAGTGAAAAAACAAAATTCTAGGATTATATAATTATTAGTTTTTCCAGTGTTTTGTAGAAATGCATACCGTTTTGTCATAAACATACCAACTTTCCAGTTCCATTGAATTTTCATTATGTCCTTATGTTCAACAATGGCTCTAGAGTTAAAGAAAAAAATACCATAAAGTTTAAAAAAGTATTCAAATAGAGAATTGCCAGAATATATAAGAAACACTTTGCTTTATCATCTTTGATTTTTTTTTCTGAAATATTATTAAATAACAACAAATAACAATAGCAATAGCATCTAACAAGCATGAAAAAAAAGACTTGAATATTCAAGTGATTGAAAGTCAAGAGCACTTTTATTTAACTCTTATGCCTTTCTTATGTTCTTTCAAGGCTTTTTCATCCTTCAGTTCTATTTGATATACAATTTGAAGAAATTATTAACTATAATGATGAGAAATGAGAAACCAAATTCTTTAGATAGACTGAAGTGCATGTGGTCTCTTACTCTAACACAGTTATCTGTAAGAGTATACATGCTTCATCTCAAACTTGTTTAATATGGAAGCCATCCTGCTAATCATTGTCTCTGAAACCTTTCCACAGAGAAAACCTATTAAGAAATACATTCCTGTGAACAGTCCTCTCCTACTAAGTGCCCTCATGAAAGTCAATAAAATCAAGAATACAGGCAAGCAGGATAGGCATTGAATTTACAGGATTGGAGCTTTAGAATTGTTGTAATAAGGGCAGAACAAATAAGAAGAATATAAAATGGATGTTGCATGGCAACAAAAATGGCATTCAAATGAAAGGTCTCCCATATAAGCCAAATACAAAGTTAGCAAAGAATTAATTTAATAACAACAATGTCATTTCATGGTAGACAAGTAATCATCTGTAGAATATTCTTAATTAATTTTAAAATAAATATATTAGATCCTTACAGCTGCAGACCGCTGATAATAGTCCCAAACAAGCCCACCATTCCTAGAAACTCCACTCTGCTCAGATTTTTCACAATGTATTCCTCACTCACATTAGAAATGGCATACAAAGAAGCACCAAGAAGAACTAAGACATCGCCAATCACCACGTCACTTCCTGTACAGAAATATTAATCCACAATAAGGGTAATGCTGCAAACACTTTTCAACTTCCCTTAAAAAGACAAGCAAATTTACCCCAAACATCCTTGCCTTTCTAGGACCTCTAGGGGTAGGGGGGAAGGATGTGTGTGTGTGAAGCAGATCAGTTGCTTGGGACCAGAGCATTAACACTACTAATGGCTCATTAAGCATGTGCAAATCACATCCTGACCAAGACATGGCTTTTTGGTTGGTCCAGTGCTCCCTGCATCTCCTGACATCAGGCAGCACAGGGAGACAGAGGAATTGCAGTCCAGCTTCCGACTAAGCTCCCACTTTGGCACGAAGGCCTCGTACAAGCCTTGCCGATTGCTGTGGAACCTGAACTGAAGTTTATGACAGTTCTCAAGTGGGCGCTGCAGATGTGTGGTATTGGGTATCCTGTGATACATCCATCCTGTGCTAACGGGACTCCTTGTAACACAGAATCACTCAGAATCACAGAATGGCAGAGGTTGGAAGGGACCTGTAGAGATCATCTAGTCAAAGCCTCCTGCTCAGGCAGGGACACAGTCACTCATCAAGTAAACGCTGTTATGCAGCTGCTCAGTAGCAAGACAAGGAGCTGCTGTTTATGGCCTTGAATTGAAGTGTCCTGCCCTAAGCACGTTGGCAGTCACTCTCTCACTAAGGAGATGTGTCTGGCATGTGAGGGAAAGCAGTACTAAGGATATTCAGGTCACTGAATAAACCACAACTGTCCTAATATCTCAGGGGAAGAATTTTCTCCCTCAGGACTCTGACGTGCTGTACCACACAGCACGGATGCTAACCCTCTGTTTGCCATGCTATCTTACCTGCAGTAGATGTCCTGGAATAAAGCTAAACAGGCTCATCTCTACTCTGCCTAGTGAAGCCAATGCCATGTTTCTCTTCCTGCTTAAATTTACCTTGCCTTATATCCCCTGGGGTTCGAAATAAGAGCAACTTAATGTGGCCTGATTGGGGCTTCTGGTCCAAACAGAGAAGAGGTAACCAGTTCTAACCTAAGCATCACTGAGTGCAGGCAGTCAAGGCCAAGCTCCCTTCGGGAGACCCCAGCAATCCCCTGTATTCTGGCCACATCCCCATTGATCCAGGGCAGTGGTCTCCATGTTCTGTTCAGCAGACCTTGGGGATACGTGGACTATTTCAATAGGTCTGCAAAAGATAACTCAAATAAGTCATCTGTTGTTAAGTAATCTCTAATTTGCTATTAATTCTCAGGGAATTCCTTTAGGAAGCCGCTCAGAAAAGTCTGGCTGCTAACAGACCAGGAGTGTAAGCAGGATGAGGTTTGTAGGAAGAGGTAGCACCTTTTATTAGACCACCTCATATGATCAGTAAAAGCGATGACACTTTCAAGGAAAATGTCTTTCACCAGGTCTGAGGTCTTACATCAGGGCTAATAAGCAGCAGCAAACTTCAAGATATCCAAATATACATTTCAATTCTCTAGGCAAATGTCACAGCTCCCTATAAAACTGACATCTCAGTTACTATTGTTTTGGCCAGAAAATATAAATAGGAGTATATCTCTTCTCTTTGTTTAAAATAAAGCTAGATCCATTCCCCCAATGCAAAGAAGTTTGCTCCTCTTTGTCCTTTGAAATTTGGACCGGCATTGGAACCACATCTCTGAATTTCCCCTCGGTGAGCAAGGTTTCCTTACCTTCCGTGTCCTGCCTGCCCGCCAGTATGTCTGCGCCCACCATGGTTCCTACACCCAGCAGACAGACTGCCACAGCAATAAAGTGGATCAGTTTGTATCTTGCACGGAGAATGAACCATGATAAAGCCATCAGCACGGGAATCCCAAAACAATCCAGCAGCTGCAGGGACAGAGAAACGATTTTAGTTAGAATCCTACCCCAAACTCGGATATCGCTCTCCTGAAGCTGAACATACTGGATCTTACCTTCCATCGCTCTCGATTGAAAGGCACAAAGCAACCCCAATAGACTAGCTGAAAAA